AAATAGTAAGATCAACGCGATGCAAGCATATATTACCTATTCTAAGGCACGACTGATCTGATTATTCACGGCTGAAACAGAAATACTGAATTCAACTGCTTGCTTTATTTTTACCAAATATTCAGCTGCCTCTATACCGATCAATCGTGGTTTTAATGGAAAGTAACGAATAAATAAGATGAAATATGAAAAATGTGTACACCTGGAAATCAGCCATTTGTTCACCTTCATTGGGAAATCTCCGGATACTTTAAGGAATAAAGAATCACAGGCTGGTATCGAAATATTTGTCCGCTGTGACGGAGCATGCTATTTTTCATAAAAACACTAAGAATACTTCACAATTTATTTTTTAACTCATATCTTTCATTATACCATACAAAATTACTTACTCCATGCAATGGATATATCATTTGCGGGTAACTTTCACTTCTGTTTGAAGTCCAATTACGCTGGGAAGAAAAGCTATTGAAAATGGCGCCGGAGTATCATACTTCAAAATGTACCATTTCTTGTTTACCTTTCTAATGGCACGATATAGTGACACGATGATATTTACACATGGTTTCAGCATAACTATGAAGGTATAAATGAGATGTTGATGTATTTGGTCTTTTTAATTCTTTTATAAAAAATAATGTTTAATTGTTTTGTCCGCTGTGACGGAGCAGTTGCAAATTTGAACTGTGAAAATGCTCCGTCACAGCGGACAAAAAATATTAATATTATTTTTTTATAAAAAAATTAAAAAGACCCAATGCATTAATATCTCATTAATACATTCAGAGATATGCTGAAAATATATGTTAATATTATCGTGTCACTATATCATGCCATTAAAAAGTTAAAAAAGAAATGGTTCATTTAGAGTTTGATACTCTGGCGCCGTTTTCAATAGATTTTACTCCTAGCGTTATTGGACTTCAAACAGTAGTGAAGGTTACACGCAAATGATATATCCATTGCATGGAGTAAGTTATTATCTTTGATATAACGAAACATATGAGTTAAAAAATAAATCGTGAAGCATTCTTAGTGTTTTTATGAAAAATAACATGCTCCGTCACAGCGGACAAATCTTTCGATACCAGCCTGTGAGAATCCTGTATCATTCTATATTGTAAATATAAAAGCATGAGTGTATGTACTAACCCGTACACATAATGCACAAAGGCGAAGCCTGATTGCATTATCAGAATGGGTTAGTACATACACTCATGCTTTTATATTTCTAATATGATACATGATTCTTTATTGCAATTCAAACATGACTGGGGTCAATGATGAAGTTGAACAGTTCACCATGTACATCTTCAAGGTTGTTGTCTTTGAAGAAATTAAGTTTTTGGAAAAGTTTATTATTTAGAAATACTCAATAGGGGTGATGGGTTACAATTGATATTCATTTGAAAACTATTGAGAAGGTTTTGTTTGTCAAAATATTTAAGGAAATGGAATAATTAATTTGATGCAGAAAAATTATGAAGAATTAGTTGAAAAGAACACATGGATGATTCGCTTTCACCCCCTTTTAAAGAATATCCCTGCTCAACCCATGCATATATCAAAGATTAAATGCACAGCAAAATCATTTTTGTGCATATATCAATCAATTAACACACTGAAATCCTTTAAGCTGAGACACACTTGGCATGTTTGAATTACTGTTAAACCACCAATTTAATTTCTCAAAGAGGCAGCTGAAACTTTCCGTAGTTTCACAAGCATTTCAAAAAATTTCCCAATTTGAAAGGCTTATTGCTTTTTACAAACACCTGGCATTCGAAGAACGTTTGGTTTAAAGAATTTGTTTCAAAATTCATATTTCAGTGTTTCAAAAGTCAAATTCGATGGTTTATTATTCAAATCTTATTACGTCTTATGCCGTTGGCCAATTTTCAAAATGGCTGCTCGTTTAAAAATGGCGGCCATTTTAGTGCCAATTTTACAGTAATCTAGGTGCAATATGTAAAACTGTAATAGCAATATGTTTTAAATGTAAAAAAATATATAGGACATTAATAAAGCTAGAATGTAGATATGAAAGAAGCACATGGCAGCCATCTTGAAAAACGGGGGCCTTTACTCGTTATTTTACGATTTTTGCTGTAACTCGAAAAGTAGTGGAGCGATTTTGTTCATATTTGGTATGTGGATACTATAAGCATTGCACACTGTCTAATTACACTTTTGGTAGAAGGCTGCCATTTTGAAAAATGGCCACCATTTTGAAAAATGGACACCATTTTGAAAAATGGCGACCATTTTTACTTTTTTAACTATAACTTGAAAAGTAGTGGAGCAATTTTGTTCATATTTGGTATGTGAATACTATAAGCATGGCACACTGTCTAATGACACTTTGGGTAGTAGGCGACCATTTTGAAAAATGGCGACCATTTTTACATTTTTTACTATACTGACTCTAAAAGTAGTAGAGCGATTTTGTTCATATTTTATATGTGAATACTATAAGCATGGCACACTGTCTAATGACACTTTGGGTAGTAGGCGACCATTTTGAAAAATGGCGACCATTTTTACATTTTTTACTATACTGACTCAAAGAGTAGTAGAGCGATTTTGTTCATATTTTATATGTGAATACTATAAGCATGGCACACTGTCTAATGACACTTTGGGTAGTAGGCGACCATTTTGAAAAATGGCGACCATTTTTACATTTTTTACTATACTGACTCAAAAAGTAGTAGAGCGATTTTGTTCATATTTTATATGTGAATACTATAAGCATGGCACACTGTCTAATGACACTTTGGGTAGTAGGCGACCATTTTGAAAAATGGCGACCATTTTTACATTTTTTACTATAACTCAAAAAGTAGTGGAGCGATTTTGTTCATATTTTATATGTGAATACTATAAGCATGGCACACTGTCTAATGACGCTTTGGGTAGTAGGCGACCATTTTGAAAAATGGCGACCATTTTTACATTTTTTACTATACTGACTCAAAAAGTAGTAGAGCGATTTTGTTCATATTTTATATGTGAATACTATAAGCAAGGCACACTGTCTAATGACACTTTGGGTAGTAGGCGACCATTTTTACATTTTTTACTATAACTCAAAAAGTAGTGGAGCGATTTTGTTCATATTTTATATGTGAATACTATAAGCATGGCACACTGTCTAATGACGCTTTGGGTAGTAGGCGACCATTTTGAAAAATGGCGACCATTTTTACATTTTTTACTATATCTCAAAAAGTAGTAGAGCGATTTTGTTCATATTTTATATGTGAATACTATAAGCATGGCACACTGTCTAATGACACTTTGGGTAGTAGGCGACCATTTTGAAAAATGGTGACCATTTTTACATTTTTTACTATACTGACTCAAAGAGTAATAGAGCGATTTTGTTCATATTTTATATGTGAATACTATAAGCATGGCACACTGTCTAATGACACTTTGGGTAGTAGGCGACCATTTTGAAAAATGGCGACCATTTTTACATTTTTTACTATACTGACTCAAAAAGTAGTAGAGCGATTTTGTTCATATTTTATATGTGAATACTATAAGCATGGCACACTGTCTAATGGCACTTTGGGTAGTAGGCGACCATTTTGAAAAATGGCGACCATTTTTACATTTTTTACTATAACTCAAAAAGTAGTAGAGCGATTTTGTTCATATTTTATATGTGAATACTATAAGCAAGGCACACTGTCTAATGACACTTTGGGTAGTAGGCGACTATTTTGAAAAATGGCGACCATTTTTACAATTTTTACTATAACTCAAAAAGTAGTGGAGCGATTTTGTTCATATTTTATATGTGAATACTATAAGCATGGCACACTGTCTAATGACGCTTTGGGTAGTAGGCGACCATTTTGAAAAATGGCGACCATTTTTACATTTTTTACTATATCTCAAAAAGTAGTAGAGCGATTTTGTTCATATTTTATATGTGAATACTATAAGCATGGCACACTGTCTAATGACGCTTTGGGTAGTAGGCGACCATTTTGAAAAATGGCGACCATTTTTACATTTTTTACTATAACTCAAAAAGTAGTAGAGCAATTTTGTTCATATTTGGTATGTGAATACTATAAGCGTGGCACACTGTCTATTGACACTTTTGGTAAAAGGCAGCCATTTTTCAAAATGACCACCGTTTTTTACTCTTACTCGAAAAGTAGTGGAGCCATTTTGTTATTGGTTATGGGGAAGAGGGTTTGCACCCATCGTGCCTCCCCCCCCGCCACACCAATGATCTAATACAAATGGTCACCCAAATACTTGAATTGGTGATTATTCTGATATACATGTAACATTTTAATGGTTTTTTTTTATATTTGCAAATCAAGGGTAAGGTAGATGATAAATATTATGTTGTGGCATACAGATTCATGAATTTAGTGTTCTTTGGCATTTGCTGCGCTATGGAGTTTGCATATTTCTAGTACTTTATTCAATTTACTGGACATAAGTGAATGATAAATGAACAAAAGGCACAATACAGAAAAGAAAATAATTTAAATATTATTTGCTTATTTCAGGATGTATGGCATGGGTAATCAGCATGTCAAAAACATATAGATAGAATATGGTGGAATAACAGCAGGGAATAGATGGAAAAACAGATTGCATGTGGAATTGCCACAATACTTCACCGGTATTTATCGTGAAGAACAACTTTTATTTAATTAACTGGAAGGAGCTGTTGAAATATGAACAATTAGGATGATAAATGATATGGAGGGCTTGAGGAATGACCACATTACTTCACCAGTGTTTATATCCATATATATTAGCTGATTAAAAAATAAAAAGACATATGCAACATTAACAATAGGCATAATATATGATACAGGATGGCACACAAGGATTTATGTACATACTGCAAATCATATTCAAGGATATTTAAATGATACCAGATGGAATGATGATTTGTGACAGTTGTGATTCTTATAGACCATGATGTGAGTCAACTCTGGAGATGCCCCCCCCCCCCTCACACACAAACAATAGCATTTTGAATCAAGTGTGTACATGCCACCCCTCCCAATAAACTTTAGCAACATTTCAAAGATAAAAGACTGATGTTGATATAATTCAGTACAAAGATGAAAAATGGAATTTTTTGCAAGGGTTAATATAGTATGGTAATTACATAGAGATACATGTATGTGATGGCTTGATAGCATATACTTTGATCAGCATTAGTCAAGTTTTGAAATCACTTTATCCCACAGCAAATTTTTTTACCAAGCGCTGGTACGGGACAGTGGGTTTGAAAACCTGACTGTCCCGTAGCTCAGTGCTACAAAGTGCTCATACGGGATAAAGGTGTTTGACTTCGTGAATATCCCGCGAGCCCTATAAAATTACGTGACAGTGTAACTTCGATTCATCATATCCCGATCTGTGAAAAACATTTGTCGTGATCGGGACTAAAAATCAGATCTGAATTCTTTGTTGTCATTTTCCCAATCTGTCTTCCGGTTGTTCTGTCCCAAAGTCTAACAGAACCATCCTCTGATGCTGATATAATGGCTTGCCCTTTAATCATCTGAAGACTAACAACAGTGACAGGAGCAGTGTGACCATCAAGTGTCATGACACAGGGGTGTGCACCTTGATACTTGTTTATGTGTTCCACCAAAGGCCTCTTATTGCTATTAGGTACCCACGGTAGGAGACCACCATCTTTTGTTTGGTATTCTTCGATTAGACTTTTGGCAATGGTTGATTTTATTTGATCCATTCCTTGTTGGACAAAAAGCTCAGTGTTCCTTTCAAGAATGTTTATCTCACTTCGAATGAATTCTGCCAGGTCATTTATTGTATCATCTTTAGAATCCATAGCCCTATCTTCATCATTGGGAATCATCATGACAAAGTTAGAAAGAGTGTCTTTCAGGTCAAACAGGTCACCCACAAGATCACGGCCAAAACCTGCATAACACTTGGCTGATAGAAAGACTGGATCAGCTAGCACTTCTACACAACGTTTTCTACGTTGCCCCGCCATGAGAGCTGTAGGAAGTTCTGCGACAGCACTCAGATTTATTCGTCCCTCAGATTCTCCATCGTTTGACTTCCAATACAATGGCTGTGGAGCAATACCACGATCTCGAAACTCCTTGCTGAATGTGTTGTCAAAGTACTTTGATAAATGATTTGACAGATTAATCAGGTTCTTGTTCCTGTATTTCCTCTCGGAAGCCTCTTTGAATTGTCTATGATACCATGTCATTGCATTCTTTCCCAAACCACCACGTATACTGACATAATCTTTGATATCATTCATCAGGCGAGCAAAGACTACATATGGTAAACGTTTCTCTGGTGGTTTGTGGTATTGAAGGACAGCATCCATAACATTATCATCACATGAGAGGAGATCTATGAGCTCTGATTCACTCAGACCAAATCTGGCAGTTGACAAAAGTCCAAAACAGGTTTGAACAAGAACCTTCCCATGATAGACTTCAAGCCTTTCAAAGAAGGCATTTATTAGTCCAGTTACTGTATTTGGAAGTTCTGGTAATTCAGAGTAAGACTCAACTCTTACTACAGCATCGCAAAGGAGTCTCAATCTGAGTGCTGTTGGCTGCTCTTTGGTGCCATCAGTTGCTACACTTAGGACAGTGTTTAACTGAGACTTGGTTAATGTCCGTTCGCTGATCTCAAGCCATGCAGACAGGATATTCTTTGCATCATCTATGTTGATGGGTACCACTTCCACCTCGGGAATATCAGTAGTCTTGAGATATTTGTAACTTCCTCCAATATTAGGAAGTGTTGATATAGCCAGGTAAACATGAGGAGGAAGTTGATTAGGAATCCACACAGGCTCAGTCCTCGCAAAATCATCATCATTCAGCTGATCAAGAGAGTCTATCAATATCACAATTGGCCTTTCAGTAGTAGCACGCCCAATCTGACGCTTGAATTCCACAATCAAATCAGCATAAGCATAGCTTATTGGAGGAGAAGGCTGACCATCATCAAATGCCTCTTTTATCTGATCACATATGCTCTTGAGGAGAACACGTCCACTTGATGAGAGGGGAGTTGTTCCACAAAACCTCACTACTAGAACTGGATTCGTTGAGTCCTGTACTTGCTTGATACCTCTGGAAAACAGTAAACCTCTCATTAGGACTCGATAGTTGATGAGCATGACTGAATAGTGAATAGTGTGTCTAGAGTGACTTAAATTACTATTGACGTAGAATAGGTGAATTTCACTTGCACACTAATAGTTACCTTTATGCATGATTTTTTGTGAAAGTTGTGATATCTTGTTGAAACTTTATTGATAATCTATTTTAGGTTCCTGCAGTACAAGTTCAAGCAAATTAGTGGAACACCTGATGTGTAATGACCAACAAGACACACAGTGATAAATATCACACTTTGATAATCAAAATGATCACCCAGATTGCCATTAACCTAATCATGTCTTGGCACTAATCTGCTCTTGCATTTGTAAAAATTTCAAGTTAAACTGATTTGTAGTTTTCCTGAATTATGAATTTTCCTGAATACAAAACTGCACTTCAATTTTGGCCAAACGACAAACACTTAGTTTTGAAATGCTTGTAACTATTTCACAATTTTGAGTTGAACCATGATACTTGGCATATCAGCGTCAGCGCAGCGTATAAGCCATTGCTATCTTCAAAGATATAAGCGAGCTGTACAAGAGCTCACATTGTTTCCCTAAAGTATACCCTAAATTCAGTTACCTGTATGCCAAGGCAGCCATAAGGGATGTCTTTCCTGCTCCACTAGTCCCATGTACTACAAGTGGCACTCTTGTGACTTCTCCATTAACTTTAAAGTATTTCAATCCTTCATCAATCAGATCAACTCGTCCAAAGAAGCTATTGGCTCTAGAGTAACAGAACTTAAGGTGAGAGGCACATTCCTGTGTTACAGAATCCATATCTGGTGTGGTCTCTATAGCTCTCTTGATTGCTCCTTGTAGGCTCTTCCCAACTTGTTTTCCCATTGCTTTGATGTACTCTTGATGTGTATGTTCAGTCACTCCTCCATCTTGTACCCATTTGATGCCATCATATTTGAGTATGTTACCACACTTTTTCAAAGTGTCATCTTGGAGTTTTCCTATCAAGTTTTTGACTTCTGTATTAATAACAGGAGGTTCAACTGTCCTGTCCATATCAATGAAATGACAGGCAAACTTGATGTCATCTTTTTGAAACTGGCCTTGTTGGAGGTATGGGATGTTCCTCATGACACATAGAGAACGTTTTCCTCCATCATTTGGTTTTAGCATACCAGCCATCACTTCTTGGTGGGTAACAGAAAATAACCATTTATTTTTCTGTTCATCAGATAGCTCACAAGACATCAGTGCCGCTTTAGAAAGGCTCAGCCTTTAAGAATTTCCTCAACTGTGTACCACTGTTGTATGACAGACCTACGTTCTTCATCACGACATGTCAAGTATTCAGGTATGTGGACTGATATGGGCTGTAGAATATAGATAGGAGGTATGTTGTTTTCATCACATTTATACCACTTGTTGATCAGAGATAGTGCATTCTCATCATCAATGTTGTTTAGTATGGCTTTAAATTCACTGATTTCAATATTCCGAGGGAGGGGTTTGTACCCATACTTGTTGCAGCCTAAATAGAGAAAACAAGGTGCACTCTGAATCGTTTCTCTCCTACATTTCTCTATTTCAGTCATACATATATCGTTTGTCATGTGATCATTTGTTGCTTCATCTCTGATACCCCATCTCATATCAACCACGCTGAATGACACTCCCCTTGCAGCACAAAAATCCTGTATATCTGGGTAGATATGTCTCATTAGATAGTTACGCTCTGCTTTGGTGTCTGTGAAAGTACTGGACACAAACAAACGAATAGTTTTGCTATCACACTTTGATGCTGATTCAAAACATCCATTGATTATTTTCATTTTCAATTCTCTTTCCAACTGACTGATTTCTCCAGCATCAACTTCATCCATTGATTCATTTAGTGTTTTGATTGTCTCTATGAATCCGCCATCAGTTTCATCTGGTTTTTCCTTTACTGGATCATAACGCTCCTTGTGTTCTTGTTTTTCCTTGTTCGATAGAGCAGCAGATTCTTCCAACTCATAGACTGGCTTTGTCATTTCATTTGAATTCTCTGTTACCAGCCTACTCCCATCCTGTACCTCATTTCTGAGTTCTTCATGAATTGTCTTATCATGGTTATGTCAACTTGTTCGTTATGGCCCATAATGTCATGTTTTTCACCCTGAATCTGATTGTTGGTTTCTCTGCCACAATTCTTGTGTTTTGACTCATCATTTATACAGTTTGAGTTCTGCTCATTATCTGTTGGCCTGTTTTCATTTTGTATGTTATTGTTATGTCCTTGAGGATTGTCAACCTGTGCAATATTGGTCATAGGCTGTTTTTGTACTGAACTTGGTATTTTTTCCACCGACTCTGGATCAGTGTAGGTACTAGAGCCACCAATCATTGTTTATCTGAAAGCAAATTATATGTTAGGTAAAGTTTATATATAAAAGTTTATTTCATATTCACACATTCCTAAGCAAGGTGTGTCCGATTCCAGCAAATTATGTGCTATTTCAAGTAACTACATTGCATTATATAAGCAATAACCTATCCAAGGTCACTTGGTAAATGGTTGTCAAGGTGACAACTTGACTCTACAGATTGAAATTGATACGATGATGTTATTTATGTTTTGTGCCACAACTTTAATTTTCAATTTTATTTCACACTAACTTTTTATAAGCTCTCCTCTCATTGGTCAAAAGTTTCACCACAGGTTAATGTAACATGAGTGTTGATTGGATGGATTTTGTGGCGGCAATTTTAAAGTATTTATGGGCTAAGGGTAGGCCTACAACACCCCCCCCCCCCCCACCGGCAACATTCTTATACACCCCGGGTTATAGACTAGTAATCATTTCCCGTCTTCTGATATAAATGCACAAAAATATACACAAACCATACATCTTCGATAGAGCCAGTCCCGGGGAGCCTGTCTTGCTTCAATACATGTTGTTGTAATCAAGGGTAAGTTTCCAAGTTGTCACTTTTAACACAGGATGGACCCGGGGGATGGAGCAACTTAAACCTTGTGAATCAAGATGATCTGCTAAAGAATAACCTATTTCACCTACTAGTCCCTGATCTGGACCCTCTGAAAAAATGTTTTGTTGTCCGGTACTTTCCCACATAAAATGATTGTACCGTTTGAAAGAACAGACTTCCCTCTTAAAGAAAACACCTCTTCTATTGATGTAAACAGGGGCAAAAGGCACCAAAACGGGGTTAGACAAGGTGGCATTCTGAAGTCTCACTTTCTTGTCATCACGATTCCAGGTAAACCATCAGACGGATTTACTTCAAATTTTCACACATGTTACATGGTAAGAAGTTCTAGAGCTGATTAACTTTGCGGCGGCCATCTTGCATTCTGGCGGCCATCTTGGAATTTTTTCCAGATAAATATTGTCATCGCGATTCCACAAAAACCACATAACAGATGTACTTCAAATGTTCACACATGTTACATGGTAAAAAGTCCTAGACCTCATTATTTTTTCGGTGGCCATCTTGCATTCTGGCAGCCATCTTGGAAGTTTTAAGATAAATCTTGTCATCACGATTTCAGGAAATCCAAACGGATTTACTTCAAATTTTCACACATGTTACATGGTAAGAAAATATAGAGGTGAATAACTTTTGGGCAGCCATCTTGCATTCTGGCGGCCATCTTGGATATTTTGGGATAAATCTTGTCATCGTGATTCCAGGAAAACAACCTAACAGATTAACTTCAAATTTCACACATGTTACGTGGTATGAAGTTCTAGAGCTGATTAACTTTTCAGTGGCCATCTTGCATTCTGGCAGCCATTTTGGAAGCTTTATAGATAAATCTTGTAATCACGATTCCAGAAAAACCACTTCACAGTTTTACTTCGAATTTTCACACATGTTACATGGTATGAAGTTCTAGAGCTGACTAACTTTTCGGTGGCCATGTTGCATTCCATCGGCCATCTTGGAAGTTTTTAGATAAATCTTGTCATCACGATTCCATGAAAACCACGTAACAGTTTTACTTCAAATTTTCACACATGGTACATGGTAAGAAGTTATAGAGCTGATTCACTTTCCGATAGCCATCTTGCATTCTGGTGGCCATCTTGGAAGTTTGTAGATAAATCTTGTCATCACGATTCCAGAAAAACCACTTTACAGATTTGCTTCAAATTTTCACACTTTATACATTTACATTCACAATTGCCCCTTTCTGGTATATTTTTTTTAGGTTTTATGACTGTTAAATTCTATAGTCTAGTTAACACCACTTTATAAACAGGTTTATTATTACTGGTGTAACTAACACAACGAAAAAAAAAATTAATTTATTTGATTTTATATAACATGAAATTATTTTTCTTTTCGATAAAACATTGCTTATTAGAAATATATTTAGTTGAAAACTTAACAGTCAGTTCTTCTATCAAAAAGTTTATTTTGGTTCAGTAGATTTATCTATACATTATTTTTATGTCACCACCACTAGTGATTGGGTGACATATTGTAATAGCTTCGAACGTTTATCTTGACACTGTTCAGTAGTTAATGTGTACTGTATACTTAACAAGGTGTGGTGACATTTTGCATGTTTCTGCATTGTCACTAATATTGAAAGCTTATGTTGATATTGTAGCAGTGTTTTTTATTAAGTTCTTTTTGTTGGTACAATTAGTTTCCAAACCCTATACTTATATCGATCTGACACACAGTTTTAGTGCAGGTTTAAGTGATTTTTGTTGATTATTAAACGCAAAGAGCACATGTGTCTCGAACTCGCAACATTGTGGATACAGAGCCCATTCACATAGTTTGACATGCTGGTGCTCTGAACCAGCTCGTTAGTTAATATCTGACTAAGAGACAGCTTGCTTTCCCGATGAAGAAACGTTATCTGCAGCTTTTATGAGTACTATAGTATCTACAACTATTTTTGATCTTATGAGTATTGGATATCATTATTTTCAATTTTTCTTCAACATGTATTTTAATGACTTCAGTATGAATGGAATGTCCCTCGGAGTTGTGGTCGTTGATGAGGAATTGGTCATTGAACGGTGTGGATGCTGTTTATTCCCATATTAGATTATTGTCTTGGGATATTCAGGTGTGATTTTTGTTTGCCAGTTTTACACTTTACAGTTTGCTTTTCCCACTAGGTTGCTTTACACTTTTTTCCTTTCTCATTTGTCATTTTTGTTTATATTTAGTAAGGATATGATATGCAGGTCTCTCCTTCTGTGTGATCACCTGTCCAGAAGATAATTCAACTGCATGAAGAACATTTCGTTGACATGATGCACAGTGAAAGGTTTCCACACATTTACATTTTCGTTTAAAAGAGCTTTAATTCCGTTATATATTCAGATCAAGGCCAATTTAGCATACATTTCGCTCTCAAAAATTGCTGTGCAATAATGGATTTCAAAGAAATGTTTGACGTTTTCAATAATCTTTTTTCTTTTTGATGAAATGTAGTTATTTATTCTAAAAATCAATCGATGTCATACACAAAATGCATTTAAGTGGTATAAAGTACAAAAGCAGAGTAAAAATATGTATTTTAGAATATCACCATGTGTTACCCCATTGTAGCGCCTCTTGCCCATGTTTCTATCAATATAAACATGATATCATACACCAAATATGCATTTATGTCAAATTATGTGGTTTAAAATACAGAAAAATAGATAACATTCTCCTTAGAATACCACCTTGTGTAACCCCACTTTACTGCCTTTTGCCCCTGTTTATATCAATATAAAAGGAAGCATGTAACCTTCCTTGTAACATGTGTAAAAGTTTCAAGAAAATCAGTAAAGTGGTTTTCCTGGAATCACAATGACAAGATTTATCCGAAAAAACTTCCAAGATGGCCGCCAGAATGCAAGATGGCCACCAAAAGGTTAATTAGCTCTAGAACTTCTTACCATGTAATATGTGTGAAAATTTGAAGTAAATCCGTTTGGTTTTCCTGAAATCGTGATGACAAGATTTATCTTTAAACTTCCAAGATGGCTGCCAGAATGCAAGATGGCCACCGAAAAAATAATGCGGTCTAGAATTTTTTACCATATTACATGTGTGAACATTTGAAGTACATCTGTTATGTGGTTTTTGTGGAATCGCGATGACAATATTTATCTGAAAAAAATTCCAAGATGGCCGCCAGAATGCAAGATGGCCGCCGCAAAGTTCTAGAACTCCTTACCATGTAACATGTGTGAAAATTTGAGGTAAATCTGTCTAATGGTTTACCTGGAATCATGATGACAAGAAAGTGAGACTTCAGAATGCCACCTTGTCTAACCCCGTTTTGGTGCCTTTTGCCCCTGTTTACATCAATAGAAGAGGTGTTTTCTTTAAGAGGGAAGTCTGTTCTTTCAAACGGTACAATCATTTTATGTGGGAAAGTACCGGACAACAAAACCCCTTTTCTAGAGCCCTTTTGGAAATCAGATCGGGGACTATACCTTCAAGTCTCCTCTAGAAATGCTGAGAAACGGCTAGCTTTCGTCATACATCTCCTGAAGTCCACTGATGATAACTGGCAATCAGAGCCGTTGAGTTTGATGGTTTAACAGTTTCTGTAATAAGGCGTATTATATCGAGTGACAACTTTGTTTATTTTGTGTTTGTATTTAACTAATCATGTATAAACAAAATCCAAACTGTGATCGAAAACAACAATGACACGAAATTAGCCTATTATCGCAGTTTTGGAATAATATCCACTGAAATACAATGTATATTGAAACTTTATTCATGATTTTCACGGTCGACTTGCGCCTGCCCTGAGGTTTTATGGGTTACCTTTGCGAACCGCAATTACAATCGAGGCGACCTCACCATTTGGTCGTCATGCTCATTATACTTGTCGTAGGGACGCCCTATGGTGGAAATCATGAATGAAGTTTCAGTATACATTGTATTACATGGATGCGTGACTGAATAGCTATAAATCAATCATTGCTTGGTGTTAAGGTCTCATGGAAGTTAACGGGAAATGACAAAACAAAAAATGACAAAGCCATGCTGGATTTTGAAATTTTTTTGAACCAAGATAACAGAGTTCTGTTTGGACCTCCAGTCAGTTTAACTAGTTCCAAATATCATTTACATGACCAGGAACACAATTGAAAGGGTCAGAATGACCATAAACATGATAAAATAACCTTTTTAGCCCTCTGAAAATGTGACTGAAAAATAGCTAAAAGTAGGTGCTCAGGAAAGGTCAATGAACAGAATCTTTTGATTTTTTCAGAATATGTGTCCAATATATTGCTCTAAATGACACAATCTTTGAAATTTTAAAAAATCGTCTGAAACAATAATGGCTGTAGTAAAAAGGAAAATAGATCGATTTTCAATTCAGTTTTTTTCAATTTTTTCTTTTTCTAAGAATGATATCAATTTTTTTTGAATTGTATCATTTAGAGCAATATATTGGGCACATTTTCTGAAAAAGTCAAAAGATTCTGTTCAGTGACCTTTCCTGAGCACCTACTCTTAGCTATTTTTTAGTCACATTTTCAGAGGGCTGAAAAGGTTATTCTATCATGTTTATGGTCATTCTGACCATTTCAACTGTGTTCCTGGTCATGTAAATGATATGTGGAACTAGTTAAACTGACTGGAGGTCCAAACAGAACTCTGTTATCTTGGTTCAAAAAACTTTCAAAATCCAGCATGGCTTTGTCATTTTTTGTTTTGTCACTTCCTGTTAACTTCCATGAGACCTTAATCTCCATTATTCTCAATTAACACAAACTGCTATAAAATTTGTTTATACTTGTACTGTATGTGTTATTGTGTTTTCAATCACAGATTTTAGTAAAATACAAATACAAAATAAACATTTTTCATTGAATATAATGGGCCTAATTACCAAACTGTAAAACCAACAAACGCGACTTGGACGTACATGTAAGTTATCACAGCCTTAGGCAAGGCTAACTTTGAACATGCTGAAGAGATCTCTTAATTATTGCATGCTAGTATTCTCATATTAGGTGACATTTTGGATTTTCCAAGGCACGAATCAGACAATGATACAATCCTTCCAATCTACTCGAAATTACCTTTTATTTCACATAAGTTCAAAGGTGCAACAATTTGTGCATCATCGACCAGTGTCAAAATATACTTCAGTTTGGATATTTCATCAAGACTAACATTATATATTTTTATTATCTCCTAGAAACCTCATGGATGAACATTATTTCAGCTCATACTCCTCTTGAAATGTGGTGGATCTTAAAAATCTGTAAGTGGGACTCCCTTTATAGAAGCTTTGAACTTGATTTACTCTTCTTAATGCTGAAATTGATAGTTTATCCATACATTTTAAGAAAATAGGTTTGTCATTCAAAGAAGATGTTAAGCCAAATATTGATCTGATAGCTCAGAAAAAGTTCAAATTTTCGAATTTTCTCTTTAGAGTCCTTGTTGCCCCACTAAAGCGAGAGATCTCACATTAACGGAAATATCTGTGGTTGTATTCATCATCCTCCGGTGTTTGGACAGAAAAGCACACTTACACATTAGGTCACATTCTATCTTTGGCATGATCTTAACTATTATGTCCGAGTCAAATGATGCGAGAATGACGAACAAAACAAGCCCGTCTGAAGCGACGTCTCTCTCCTTTTTACTAGAAACAATTTTGTAATAAAATAATTCTTTCTGCGGGAAGACCCCCTAGCTTAAGCCCGGTATACACCAATGGTGCAAAATCCCACTTGCCCCATCGAGTCCCATCTTGCCCCATCGAATCCCAACTTGCCCCATTGAGCCCTACCAGATCCCACGGAGTCCCATGAAGCAAGTCACGTGATACGTCATATGATTAAAATCCCACGTTGCCCCATGGAAAGAATGAACTTGTTCATTCTCGATGGGGCAAGATGGGACTTCATGGGATTTTGCCCCATCTTGCCCCAACTTGCCACGAGTCCAACCGAGTCCCACGTGGGACTTCATGGGACCTCGCGGGACTCGATGGGGCAAAATCCGACGGAGTTCCATGGAGTCCCACGGACGGTGTCAATTTGCATGTCAAATGCCTTGTCAGGTAAAGCCCGGTATACACCAATGGGGCAAAATCCCACTTGCCCCATCGAGTTTCATCTTGCCCCATCGTATAACCCCTTTATATACAAATTAAAATATGTCCAGTAAAAGAAAATGTTATCTGTCCAATACAAGAGCAGATAATTCACTTTTTATGATTTTGTAACATGGGGTCTATGGGGAATCAACCCGAACAAGAAGTCACATTTTCAAAGTTGATAGACAACTTTCGAAACCATATTGTAGATGTACTTTTACATGCAGATTTCAAATATGAGATCACTTTGATAGAATTTTGAATATTTAACGTAAATCAAGATTATTTCTCCTCGCATCTAGTCTATTCCCACGATATTTTTAAAACAAACGTGTATCAGTATCATGTTTAAGAAAATGTACATAATTGCGAAAAAATAGCTCGGAAGACTCAGAATCGTCAATTTAATTCCTCACTTATAGTTACATAAACGGTTTGGGCTAAAAGTGCAGATCTTAACTATTTTTCGAAATACCGTTTCTGTAACTTAAGTGAAGAATTAAATCGACGATTCTGTTGTCTTCTGAACTATTTGTTCGCAATTATGTACATTTTCTTAAACATATTATACTGATACACGTTTGTTTTAAAAATGTCGTGGGAATTCTGCCTACAACGTGTGAAATAAGGAAAAAAGAAAAATCGTACCTCCGATGTTCGGACATTTTGTCACCGAAACACACCGTTTCAGTATCCAGCGTAATCGATTGGATCACCAGTGCCAGTGGTGTTTACGTAATTTGAAAGTTAAAAGTTGCAGTATAAGTTTGGCTGAAAACTTATATCGAAAGCTCTCTAATGACACCAAAAAAGTCACGTGTGTGCAGATGAAAAAGTTGCCCTTTTTGGAAATATTGACGAATAACCATGAAATCAAACAAAATACATTTAGTTATGAAATAAAGTCAAACCTGTTGGATATTTTAGAAAATACGCATAACAAGGAATACTGTGAGCGACAATATTGTAAAGGACTAACCTCCGACTTTCCTTTTGATTAAACCTTTCAAGATGGAGAATTAATAGGAAATCATTAAGGGATGTATCCAATTATCAATATTTGACATTTCGTTGTCTTACAACTGTTTATCTTTAAGATAGACACCATCCTTAGACACCTTGACGATTTAATCTTCCTTAAATCATGAAATTCGGGTTCAAGGGTACACTTAAACTAAAATGAGCTCCGTGCTATGTGTAAACAAATAAAAATTGTCACCCAAACCCACCTAAGTTGTATACACAATGCAACGTATCCCCTGACAACCAATAGTTGACGCTGTCAAATAGCAAACACACTCGTGTTTTTTCACGGCATACAATACAAATAAATACCACAATGATCGCTCTACAGTAAATAAATACATAGTGTAAAAACCTAGCATCTGAATGCGTTTATGTGGATTATTGAGGCGATTGCACTTAAAGATATAAGGCGAATAAACATGCAGGGTATTTGTTTTCTATTTTTTTGCAAGTTGCGATCGACACTATGCCGATTTAGACGATAATGAAGCCTGTGAGGAATAAGGGTACTTATTTGGAGTAGAGATAGCAGAAATCAAAAGGTATGTTGATTCCTGAGTAATAAGAAATAAACAGATGTTCATTCATTGTATAGATGTTAATTCATTGTATATAAATAGATGTTCATTCATTGTATATACTCGTACTTACCACTTTCACTCAAATCGCGGCATTGTTATTTCATTATTTCTATTTTAAAAATCAAAGCGATAAAAACTTGTCAATAAAAACGTTTTCCCAGTAAAAGATTCTTAATGGAGAATTTCCATAAATTACCATTACCATTTTATCCATTTTAAACAAAAAACTATAATTGAAGTTGGGACAAATCTATGATAAGAATATTTTGTTTAAAAACCAATATGGCTACATGGGCGATTGACTACCAACCCCCTAAGTACAAAAGTATAGTAACGACACGTAGACGGATGTCTCTTTTTATCAAGCTAATGTTGCATTTGCAAATTCAACTGCCGGCTGGTGGATTAGATAACTATGTTATGGCCAACTCATATAAATATGAAAAGTAACTGCCACCATCCCATTCATATTTAAATGACTTGGCCATAAAACGTAGATTAAACCGTCAGCCGACAGGTGAATTCCTACCGCGAACAAGCCATATTTGAAAGATTTGAGATAAATCAAGACCCTTTTGTATGTTATTTGCTAGAATTATTACGCGTACAGTTATAATTTGAACATCACTTATGTACATATATTTCTTAGGTGTGTTCGACAAATAATGGTCAACAAAGAAATTGATCATGATTGTAATCGATTCTTAGTTGTTAAATATTAAACAATAGATATGTAAAGAAAATACTTAACCCAGATATGGATTAATGTAATGTATGTAACTATGCTAAATATGAACTAGATTCCTCAGGGTAAAAACTTACAAAACGGAAGACACACATCGATGCAGACCGCTCTATCTGGCCTCCGGAACATTTGGTTTGTAAAGGTGTACAATTTGGTCAGTTTACCTCTCGATAGGTATACCATGTAGGCTATAACTAACGCTCACTTGAAGTTGTAAAAATATTAACAATGATGTAATATGCATAATATTCGAACTGTATTCGCACCAAAAGAAAAGGGAAACGGATATTTAAGGAATTTGGATACTCATCCTTTGAGAAACGGATATACTGAAGGTACAAACATATTTTTATCAAGAATACTTAGCTCTTGGCGAACTGAACTGAACATATGCGCTTACTAGTTTGATATTCAATCAATTTTCATACTTTGGTAAGCCAAGATGGTTTTGCTCTCAATAAGAGATTCGTGGTTTGTGTATTGTGTATTCGCTAAAAGGACGATTCTCGGTTTGGAGAACGAAGTTCATCAATCTAAATGAGCATTATCCCTGCTTCGGACAAATTTGATTTTTTTACATAATATAGATTTGAATGTCTTCTTTTGAATAATCATAATTTAATTTGGGTAATATTTCTAGATTTTTCGCAAAAAAATATTAGCGCAGTACACTGATGAACTTCTTTCCCCAAATCGAGACTTGTATTTTATTGAATCGGTCTAATTGAACCTTATCCCTGCTTCAGACCAATTTGTTATTTTTACATCTTGTAGATTTAAATGTCCTCTTTCGGATATTCATAGTTTGATTTGGGTAATATTTCTATATTTTTCATGAAAAAATTATTAGCCCAGGAGACTGTTCTCCAAACCGAGAATCGTCCTTTGTGAAATTAAGGTCAAGGTCAATGGCACAATAACAAGGTAACATTCATTCATCGAATGATGGTCGTCAATCGAAACTGATTTGTCTAGACTTTTTGTGAATACACATGTTATCTTACTCAAATGTGGATTTTTGCACAGTTCAGACATTTGTTAAAGTGTTAGATGTCATTGACATTATACTGAGGTTAGTTGTCAAGAAAATGTTATAATTTTCACAATTTGTTTTAACAGCGTGCACAGTCTTCATGTCTGTATCTATGTTTCTAAGTTTTGTATCTGATGCAAAAAAGTAATCACAAAATTTGGACATTAACGAACTGCTTTAACTATCTCTGTTCATATAAAAGGAGGGGGGGGGGTTGATTTTTCACTGTAGTATTTGTATACTTGATCCCCCAATTGACTGCAATGAATACAATAAATGTTCATTTCATTTTGCACGTGACATTTTGCACGTTGACCCTGCTGTACGCTTTTGCATGCAACAATTAAAATTCCAAGAACCATCAAAATTGAATTGAATTGAATTAAATCACTTCCTGACGTACAATAGTACTTCACATTACAACAAACTTTCACATATTTACAGACAGACAAACAAATCATTTATGGAAACACAATGGCTTTGATAACATTTGTATTAATATTTACTGAAATAACGTTATTTCTACGAATAGGTCAAGTACAATAAATAACACTTTGAAGTAAGGTCAGTCAAGTACTTTTGGCCATTGACCGATCATAATGATCAATGGGATACATAGTAAAGAACGATACGATGAAGTGGACATAGAATCCTGAACCAATAAAATTAAAAGTTATGGGGGGCGGTCGGTAGAAGCACATCCAAACATGTTTGATACTATTACAGACTGTTTTCCATTTTCAGGTTTGTACATAGTTCCAGAATATCATCGATCAACTTTTTGTTGAATTATGAGCAGTGATGGTAACCTTCCCCCGGGGTTTAGGGTCACCACGACCCCTCCGAACGCTGGTAAATGGAAAGACTCACACGATGAACAGAAAACAGCTGCAATTCAAGCAGCAAGGAAAGCCAGAAAAAATGACAAAGAAAACACAACCAGCAATGATGGATTAGTACCAATTCAGGAAACGGATCAATTATCAATTGATGACACGGAACAAATCCAAATTGATGAGATTAAAGATAAGCCAAAACGAGGCTCAAGATCAAGGCGGGGATCCCTGGCTACTGCGAGAGACACGCCCGGGACATCCCCTTCTCGTTTACGGCGACGCTTATCGAAACCAGGCTCAGAGAACGACGGCAAACCCAAAGAACCTCCAAAAACAAGCGATGGATTTGAACATCGATTATATCTAATAGATAGAAACGGAACTGGAGATGTACATTATTTTGTAATTGACGACTCCGAGGAGAAGCTAACAACTTTAAATCCAGTCACAGAAAAATGGAAATGGTTAGAGAATTATCGAGATTTCGAAGTGGTTGTCATGGATAATAAACTTTATGTAATCGGAGGTGCAGAAACAAAGCTAGGCAAAGTGACAGATAGAATGATAAGGTATTGGCTATTTAGAAGACATATTGTCAATAATTATATATTCTTAAAAGTGAATAACTAGCAATTTTTCTTCGTAAATCTCTTCAGTGGTATGTAATTATCTCGCAGCATTATATCTGACTCCAGATTTCAATAGCTTTCAATAATTCTTAAGGAAGATAGTACTCATATCGTCTCCTGGGGATTATGGTCCCCTTTCCTTACGGCCCTTACTGGCCCTAACTGCGTATAAATAATAAGGAAAATAATTGTAATTAGGTCACCATATAAATCAATAGAGAGTAGGACCAAAATTTGATAGGACCACCTACCCTTTTACACCTGTCGTAGACATTGGATGTTATTATTAGGTAGGATAAGCTACACGTTTTTGAGAGAACGTGAACGTGTGATAATATGACCCCCAGGGATGACAGTCCCCTTCTCAACTGATTTCCAGGGACCTATTTGTTTCTTTTACTTACTAGGGCAAGTAAATATTACACATGGTAACTAATACATAAAGGACCACCATTCTACATGTTCGCGTTTACAAGTTCTCCTAAAACGTGTACCTAACTTCCCTATCATAAATATGATGCGTGAACGTGATGAAACATATCAGACTCTGCAAGTCTGGTAATGGTGGGTTTACCCTGTTTAAATTCAACAGCCCCTCTGTCATCATGATAAACCATGACATCTAAATTCTTCTCAGCCGTGAGATGTTTCAGGTGACACAGAAAGATGTTATGAGTATTAGAATGTGTTTCAAGTGAAACAGAAAGATGCTATGCGTATCAGAATGCTCCTCTGTGTACTGGAGAATATTCCGGTTTCCTATATACACTCTCCTCTCTCCAGAAAGCCAGACGAGTTTCATTGAATATCCAGCTTATCAAAGTAGCCTGTCAATATTCAGATCCTAATTTTGTTCCTTAATTACAATAGTTGGATTTGTGAAAGTGGATTTTATTTTAAATCACCAAACACAAAGAAACTATGATAAGTAATTCAAAAGGGCACTTCAAATTGCCAAATTTATTGAGGGGAGTGTACGTAAATGATGATTGATTAGAGTTCTTGAATTCTGGAATAGCATTAGCTCAATAGTTTGTTAAACTCATCGATCTGATTTCAGATATGACCCGGTTGAAAATGCCTGGGCTCTAAGGTGTCCCATGCTAGCTGCTAGGTGCAAGTGTGCTGCTGCTTCTGCGAGAGGAAATATATTAGTTACAGGTACGTACAAAGCATAATTAAATCCAAGGGCGTACGTACAAGGCATGATTAAATCAGTGGGCGTAAATATGATTAAATTCCCCAGGGGCATACGTACAATCAAGTCGTTAATAAATCCCAGGGCGTACGTACAAGGCATTATCAAATCCAGGGGCGTACGTACAAGGCATGATTAAATCAAGCGTACGTACAAGGCATATCAAATCCAGGGGCGTACGTACAAGGCATGATTAAATCAAGCGTACGTACAAGGCATAATCAAATCCCAGGGCGTACGTACAAGGCATGATTAAATCAAGCGTACGTACAAGGCATAATCAAATCCCAGGGCGTACGTACAAGGCATGAAAACATTTAGTCCAACAACATTAGACCTAGCCTGGGCCTCGTTTCTTATCTGACATGTCTTATGGCCCCGGCTAGGTCTAACTTCCATGATGATTTTGCCCTTGTTGCGATCATTTAATCGTTCAGCAGGTTTCGACATGCGGAACTAATTAAACTCCGAAAACATGGTAATATTACATAAAGAATGTGATTCAAGCATGCATACATACCTTATAAATACATACACACCATCCCGTACCCCCCTTAGACCATATTGATGCATAATTACGAAAATATTGGAGACAGGTTTGGAATTTTACGAAAATATCGATCAGCTCCGGTAACATCGAAATTGCAAATCGTATCAGGAATTAACCGTCATTGCGACACTGCATCAACGAACAGTAGGTTTGCAATTAATAACGATTTTGTGTGTATACAAGCGCTATATAAATCAATCAAAGATACCTGCTATCCTCAAAAATGGCTATTTTATTCCGAGTAATCGTGTGATAATTATAAATCTATTTGACAACAATTTCGTTTCAATAGTTTAAATTTTAACCCGGGACGAACAGACACAATGAAGGACATGCGGAAATGTCATTTTAGAGATTGGTAAGTTTAACCTCATTTTACTTGTATAAATGACCATTTAATACAATAATATTGTGTTGAATCGCTTGATGTTATGTGTTTTTATATTGTTGTCAAGTATCAGTTGCATGTTATCGCGGAAAAATGGTTTCGGTGGATCCAAAACTTGCATCAATGGAAAGAATAGTAAAGAGGTTAAACTCAATAATGGCCCCAAGAAAATTCTTAATAATAAATAACGCCGTTATTGAGTTTAACGACGTTGAACTAGAAAACATTAGGCGAGCCAAATGTAAAAAGTCGAGTATTGCCTGGCTCATCCCTGACTGCGTCAATGAATCTTTTCATGCATTCTCTCATAAGAAATTGTACTTGGGTTATGGCATGGGCATTGGGTCGATAAAGGATGGCAATGTAGGTTTGTATTTGTCAATATATGTACTATAGCCTTTATTTATTTGTCGATGAATATACGATTTGTCGATATGTGTACTAGGGTTTGCCTTTTGTCGATATGCATGTCCCCGTAGATAAATCACTCTTATATGAGCCGAGTCTAAATATGTTTCGATAGACCAATAAAACAGTGTTTTGTTTTAGAATGAACAAAAGTAAAGTTGCTGGGTCAAAAGAAAGATGGCAGTGTATGTTTTCTACATTTATAACATCTCTTTTAACGCACCGCCATCTATCGATCGATTCCCAACCTCCTAGTCAAGCCCCTGGCCAAGTTTTGATGTTTACTTATAGGAGGGGAGAAAAATGACGGAAAGGTGACGGGAACGTGTGAAATATATGAACCGGAAGAAAACAAATGGAAGAAAGCGGGACATCTTCCCAAGCCAAGGGCGAACCATAGATGCGTGGCGGGGACAAAAGAGGCCTACCTTTCCGGAGGATCATATGACGGCGAAGGACATAATAATTTATGGTAATGAAATAATTTTCAAGACACAAAATGATATAGCGTAACTTAAAGTAAGATTTAAAACATGGATTTTTTGAAAATTGATTGATTAGTCATGAAATGTTACCTGAATTCCTCAACATTTGAAAAAATTAAAGACACACGGAATGGTGTTAGTAGAAGTCCATTCCTTACCATGAATCTTCAGAGGAATGCTGCCCTACACTGACCGCCATAGGGATTAATTCTTCCATTTTTGTTATCATTACGTCTTTCATTATACAGGATTTTTGAAGAACATAGGTGGAAGGAGTTGGACAGTCATTATCCACAGAGAATGGGGTTCAATCTGGATAAACATATGATGGTTAATGTAGATGGGACACTCTATTTTATAGGAGGTACGTTTACTATCTATGAAAGATACCATTGCGTGCGATATTTATTGTTGTAGTTCCACAAGGATCTATTGTAGGTACCCTGATATACATGTATGTTATATTCTCTAATTTTAATTTTAAGGAGTTAATTACAGCCAGCCCGTTCCCACGAAGGGAGAGTATTCATTGCCTGACCCCCAGGCAAGCCCACGAGACCTGAGTAGTTGTATGTCTGCTGAGACCTCGGATAGGGTAGAATATTTCCGTACCAAAGTTAGATACTCCAACATAAAAAAGGTAACTTGTATTCTTCACTTATCGATAGATGAATTATTTAACAAAAATCTATGTGACCGTCTTGAACTGACATCCCTGACATCATATTGAAGTCACTGACGTCACCGACTTTATATTGAAGTTATAATGGCATTCAAACTTACATCTATGTCTTTTGAGAAATATAATCAAATAGATGATCCATCTAATTCATTATTTAGAATGTATTTACAATCTTCATTCAAGTTGTTTATCGTAATTGCATGTAGAATTATGATTTTAATATGCTCAGAATAAAGATGCGAGAAAAGGTCTATGGAAGAAAGACAAACCCACGTCTGGCATAGGCGATGGCCAAAATGACAGGGTAACGCCATGGGGCAAAGGTTTACCAAAAATGAAATATGGGCGTCAAAATGGAGGCCAAATGAGGATGGGTATGTGTCATGTATTATTTATAAAGTTTGTGTGGAATCCAATCATACAATGGCAAATTCCAGATAAAGGGCTTTCAAAAAGATTTAATGAATGTTTGTTAACGCATGCCTGTTTTTGCCCTTTATTTGCATGTGCCAGAAAAACCCTGCATTTGAGTGTGTCTCTGCATATGTGGCCCTTTATGCGGATTTTTCCATATGTGGAGCTAACGATTAGTCTATTGCTATGTTATGCTTTTATAAATTAAATTGATGATAATCAAATCAATTAGTATATCTTGTAAGCGAAATGATATGTAATATAGTGAATTAGATTGTGTGATTGAATTATGTAGACGTAACTGTTTAAATAAATAAGTTATCTATTGATATATTGATTGATAGATTTTGTTTAGATGTGTTTGATCGATTGTTTTAATTAAAGGTAAAATCATAGTTTTGCTTCAAGATTGTGGACCCCTGCCCATATCTTTTTGAATTGAGCAACAGTAAGAAAAAAGGAATATTGTAAAGCTCATACATGTTCAATACAAAAACAAGACGTATAAAGTTTACGCAGTGTTGTATCATAAAGCAAAAGTCTTTTCTGGGTCACCGCGAATGGCATGATTTCCTCGAGTCTCTTCAGTTGCAAGGCAACCATACTGGGACCGATTCGTGTCGTTCCACTACTGCCCTTGGTGGGGGCCCGCTACCATACTGTATGACTCCCGGAGTCTACTAAAGCACGTTAGTGGAGGAACCAACCACAGTCTCACAATCTGTCTCCGACAAGAGCAGTCAGAGAACCAACCCAAGCCAAGGGCCGGTAAACGGTTGGACCTTCGGACCGAGTGTCCGTAGTGCAATGATCAAAAACTCCGTACCTGGGGCTCGAACGCGGGACCTCCGTATCCCACCGGACGTTCAACCCACAAAGTAGCCCGTCTACGCCACAAGTCTATTCTGCTTAGGTGTCAAAACTGCTCAAAAATGTAATATTTGTTCTAATATTTTGCTTGAATGAACATGAACCGGCTCAGTTACTTGTGTTTTGAATTCAAATGACTAATTATAAACGAGGACAATTACCATGCGCTTGCAAAAGTCCTGACTACTTCGCAATCAAATGACTAATTATAAACACAAAAAAAATTTCCACTCGATTGCTTTCAAGCGCGTGTAATTGGCTATGTTTACATCGTATAAAGCTCAGAAGAATAGGAGTGTTTATGAAAATTATGTCTCTGACTCAAATTATGAAAACGGAGTATATCAGCTTGTCAAACTGATTGTCATTGTGTTGTGCTTCACTAATATGAACTTAAAACCGAAGAGTCATTGGACTTAGTAGCGACTGTTAAATGCGAAATAAAACTTGAAAATAAACAGCTACATTGTTGTTGGGACACAACTTATTGAAAATGAAAACTCTAATTGAAAGCCCATGGTGTTACCAAATAACATTATGTCTATTGAGTTGTATATGCATGTAGTTTTTGCTCATAGATGATGCGTATGTGTGTCCATGGGGTCGAAAAATAGCAGAAAAGATGAAAACACCACGTCAAAATGCCGGTGTTTGCTTCATAGGTAGCTATGTAGCTCTGTACTGATAGAGCTCACATTTGAATTAAAGTGTTTCACACTACTATACCTAACACCTAGAAATGCATAAGATACTTTGTTTGTCTAATTGAATTGTTTAATATATTTTTGAAAGTGCCTTACTAGCATCTAATTTTCAACCGATAAACCATTCATAAGGAACAGACAAATAAAAACAAATACATAATCATTACTAATAAGCCAAATGGGTTGCTCATGAACAGCAAATGCAAGGTATAGTAGTGTGTGTTTGTGAAGCTTTGGAAAACACTTTTTTAGAGTCATACTCTCGAACTCGCTTCAATGCACAGAAACCTCCGTTACCCCTGGAGGTAGTAACTGCAACCGCTTTAAATTTTGATAAGAATCCACTTGCTTGCTTTGTAGTGTACAGTACGCTTTTGCAATCTCAGTGCTTTATGCAAATATAGGCTTACATACATAGCATTGGCTTTTCTTCTCACGTACACTCCCTTCAAAAGTCTGGAAACACAACGCCACCATTGGATCTTGATTAAAGGTAAATGTTCTGAAAGTGCGAAATATCCTAGGCCTGTTTGTATTTGCCAATTTGTAAGATTCATCAAGTCATAACTACATCTTTTATGTGACTCGTAAAAATTCAAAATACAAAAAGAGGCTTTATAACGCTATCCAATGGAGTGTCGTGTTTCGAAATGTTTGAAGGGGAGAGTATCTCGAACGTCTACTTGGCAGAATAGAAGACTCATTCACCATAATTCATTTAATAGGCTATTAATTTTTTCAAATATGTTAATGCAATCATGATCAATTATACCAATTAACAAGACATTTCTTGTCCCACTTACACATGTAGGTTTTTAGTATGTTTTATTCATATCACGAGGTTTGTATTTTTCTGTAATTTTTGCAACTACGAATTATACACAACTTGAATTTAGTATCCTCCAATATTTAAGCACAACACATTTTACTACCTTGAAATCGCCTTGTTGAGTCTGCACTATGCGATTGCAATCCGTTAACAATTAAATTGATCACTTATTCAAAGACATTTGAAATTATGAATACTAGATGGAACATTTTAGTTGATAAACAGTAAATCAAATTATGTATCAAGACTTTAAGCTCTCCTTATGACGTCACGCGTGTACAGGGTGGGCCAAAAACGTCCATATCTTTTATTTCGACATAACCATTTTGAAAATGCATAGATTTTAATAAATTTTTGGCAGGATATAGAGTGTGTTCCAAAAGTTAGAAGAATAACTCTACATATCCCGCCATTATGGACATCCATGTATTTTCACAAAAGCTATATCGAAATAAAAAATATGGACGTTTTTGGCCCACCCTGTATAGTAGTCCTCATTCACATTGATTTACTATATTGGGTCCACTATAAAGGGACCATGAAACTAAGGAATCATAATTTCTTTGTAAAAATCAACATGTCCGTTACTGGGCCACATTCAGTTAATCTAATAACTAATGTAATTCCGTCACTGCTTTTAAAGTAAATAAAAAGTATATTTGCCTAGGACCCAAACTATATTTGGCACAGGGTTCTCATTTACAAATTTGCTTCTGTTTTAGGCAATCGGATTTACGTGTTTGGCGGAAGCAGCCAGACGTTATCTGAAATCAAGCAGGTGGAATACATGAACTTAGACAATAACAAATGGTACAATGCTTTCACTTTAAAAAATGGTAAGTTATACGAATGAATACGGCCATGGGGAAAAAACAAAAAAGTTGCACAACAGCACATTGAAAGAACAAACACTTATGAGGTAATGAAGCCTAACCTCTTGATAGATTATCAAATGGTGTAACTCTAATGTTCATCTATGATAATACATTATACAAGATTCACACATAGGTGTGTCCAATTCAAGCCAATCAGAACATGCTATTTCATGTAACTGCATTCCGTTATATAACCAATAACGAACTCAAGGTCACTTAAGTCCAAGTCAATGTATTAGAAATTTAGTTTTTTTGCTATAGAGCATACTGAACCACAAAACAGCAAAACATGCTCATTTCTTATTGATTGACTAAGACTAAGTTAAACGATTGTAATGGCGATGACTGAACTCTACAAAATGATATTGATCCTTTGCCACCTTGACCCTTGAAAAGGTTTCATTGAAAATGTATTCTTTTTAGTGATTTCGTATCTTTTAGACGATTTTGTAGAAAATATTTTGCAATGTGTGAAAATAATTTAAGCCCAGGACTCACTCACTGTATTGTGTAATAGCCATTCCTTTTAGGCGTTATTTCCTAAAATTAACAGTCGATGCTCCGCATCTCGGGCAAATATTGGAAAGCAACACCTTCTAGGAATCGTCATTCCACATTGCACTGAGTCCAGGGGTTCAATCCTCAAACCACACCAATATTGATTGAATTGTTTAACGTGTCTGATGCACGAATATGACAACAGCAACGAACGTACACATTATCTTTTCTATATGATGACATGATATCCACTTTTATTTCCAGGGGACTTCTCAAACATAGTGTGCGTGAAACTGAAGTTCCCACTAGAGCCTCACGATATGAAGCCAAAAGTTTCTCCAAAGGAATTTGTTATGGCGTTGAATTCCTGATTAAAGTATATTGTATTCGACATGTATTAAAAGTGCCAAAAAGAACTCTCTGACTTGATGAAATAAAATTCTGCTTGAAATGGATTGCGTCGATTTGACGAACTGTAAGCCCGCAGTATTATAAGTTATTAAATGATTTGAAGTGCAATACAGGATATATTCTGCTCGAGAAATTCTGTATTGGAACTAGACGAAGTCGAGTGCCAATACAGAATATTGAGAGCAGAATATATCCTGCATTGCACTTCAAATCATTCTATAACGTTTTTATCGTGTGATCCTCTGTATTGTTACTGAAAATGCCCCCTCCGTACCAATATTTTCTACATTGCGACGGAGATGATCAATGGGGACAATCGCAATAGCAATAAAGATTGGTACAGCACAAGAACTGACCAATCAGAAGGCTTCATTTTACAGATATACGATAAACATGTATATTGACTAAAACGCAGCACATACCATAAATAGGTGTAAAGACTTATATACATCAGCTTGTAATTTTATATTAACGTTTTTAAAATAAAACGAAAGGCAGAATATTTCACTTGTTATATTTGATGTCAATCTTTATAGTCAATACAGTGCAAACATTTTTATGTATGCGAGCATATGCTTACAATACACAGAGGTGTAAAGTAACGATGAGGATACACACTGGTGAGAGAATATACTTACAATGCACAACGTAACGCTGTAATGTAATGTTGAGAATACGCACTGGTGAGATTGTATACTGAGTGACAATATACACAGATGTTGAGTTCTTTTTAAAAAGAATGGCCATAGATACTAGTACTAGAAATGGTTTTACAAACCTTATTACTACTGAAGCACTGCACTCACTGGCATTTAACTTTCTACTAAATTTGTCAAGGAAGTTAACACAATGTTTATGAATATAAAGTATTCTATTTATTTAAATTTCAACTTATTATTACAAAAAAATGAATCAGCTTCATGTCGATGAAACGGTCGTTCCTTGAAGTACTTCAATCCTAAAAATAAAAAGAGACCTATTTGAATCTGGTATTCACGATGTTGATCAGAGTGTCCCTGGTGAAACCGATATCGAATTTAATCCCAATTTTTTTCACATACCAGCTCCAGATGCTTAATTTTATATCTACATATATAGCATTACTCTGTGTATCTTGACTGAAAACAACATTATAGTAAAAATCTAGAGACAAACAATCTTGTACGTCAGGCAATTTTTCACAGAGCGCGGACATTCCCTTAAAACGTACAAAATAGTTTATGGTGTGCGACAGCTTTCTCCTGGTGTACAGCAGCAGACCTGGCCCTCTGCACAAGCGTCGTCAAATACTTGGTAGGCGAAAGAACCGTCGGGACAGCCAGAGTTTGAAGCATCTATGTTCTCAGTTGCACAGGAGCCACCTGACATGTCCTCTAGTATAGTCTCACAGCAATCTTCATTGCATGTATCTTGGGCTGGAATGAAATATATGAACTAGGTATAAGGACAAGCCATATATAATAGGAGCCACCTGACATATCCTCTAGTACAACCTCACAGCAATCTTCATTGCATGTATCTTGGGCTTGAATGAAATATATGAACTAGGTATAAGGACAAGCCATATATAATAGGAGCCACCGGACATATCCTCTAGTACAGTCTCACAGCAATCTTCATTGCATGTATCTTGGGCTGGAATGAAATATATGAACTAGGTATAAGGACAAGCCATATATAATAGGAGCCACCTGACATATCCTCTAGTACAGTCTCACAGCAATCTTCATTGCATGTATCTTGGGCTTGAATGAAATATATGAACTAGGTATAAGGACAAGCCATATATAATAGGAGCCACCTGACATATCCTCTAGTACAGTCTCACAGCAATCTTCATTGCATGTATCTTGGGCTGGAATGAAATATATGAATTAGGTATAAGGACAAGCCATATATAATAGGAGCCACCGGACATATCCTCTAGTACAGTCTCACAGCAATCTTCATTGCATGTATCTTGGGCTGGAATGAAATATATGAACTAGGTATAAGGACAAGCCATATATAATAGGAGCCACCGGACATATCCTCTAGTACAGTCTCACAGCAATCTTCATTGCATGTATCTTGGGCTGGAATGAAATATATGAATTAGGTATAAGGACAAGCCATATATAATAGGAGCCACCGGACATATCCTCTAGTACAGTCTCACAGCAATCTTCATTGCATGTATCTTGGGCTGGAATGAAATATATGAACTAGGTATAAGGACAAGCCATATATAATAGGAGCCACCGGACATATCCTCTAGTACAGTCTCACAGCAATCTTCATTGCATGTATCTTGGGCTGGAATGAAATATATGAACTAGGTATAAGGACAAGCCATATATAATAGGAGCCACCGGACATATCCTCTAGTACAGTCTCACAGCAATCTTCATTGCATGTATCTTGGGCTGGAATGAAATATATGAACTAGGTATAAGGACAAGCCATATATAATAGGAGCCACCGGACATATCCTCTAGTACAGTCTCACAGCAATCTTCATTGCATGTATCTTGGGCTGGAATGAACTATATGAACTAGGTATAAGGACAAGCCATATATAATAGGAGCCACCGGACATATCCTCTAGTACAGTCTCACAGCAATCTTCATTGCATGTATCTTGGGCTTGAATGAAATATATGAACTAGGTATAAGGACAAGCCATATATAATAGGAGCCACCGGACATATCCTCTAGTACAGTCTCACAGCAATCTTCATTGCATGTATCTTGGGCTGGAATGAAATATATGAACTAGGTATAAGGACAAGCCATATATAATAGAAGCCACCGGACATATCCTCTAGTACAACCTCACAGCAATCTTCATTGCATGTATCTTGGGCTGGAATGAACTATATGAACTAGGTATAAGGACAAGCCATATATAATAGGAGCCACCGGACATATCCTTTAGTACAATCTCAGCAATCTTCATTGCATGTATCTTGGGCTGGAATGAAATATATGAACTAGGTATAAGGACAAGCCATATATAATAGGAGCCACCGGACATATCCTCTAGTACAACCTCACAGCAATCTTCATTGCATGTTTCTTGGGCTGGAATGAAATATATGAACTAGGTATAAGGACAAGCCATATATAATAGAAGCCACCGGACATATCCCCTAGTACAGTCTCACAGCAATCTTCATTGCATGTATCTTGGGCTGGAATGAAATATATGAACTAGGTATAAGGACAAGCCATATATAATAGGAGCCACCGGACATATCCCCTAGTACAGTCTCACAGCAATCTTCATTGCATGTATCTTGGGCTGGAATGAAATATATGAATTAGGTATAAGGACAAGCCATATATAATAGGAGCCACCGGACATATCCTCTAGTACAGTCTCACAGCAATCTTCATTGCATGTATCTTGGGCTGGAATGAAATATGTGAACTAGGTATAAGGACAAGCCATATATAATAGGAGCCACCGGACATGTCCTCTAGTACAGTCTCACAGCAATCTTCATTAATTTTGCAAAGTGGGGCAAAATTCAGCTCGGACCCAAGTTTAAAACATTGCAAAAATCAGTACAAGGGGCATAGGGGCTATTGGAAGAAGGTGTGACAGGTATGGTATAGACAGTAAAGTGTTCATACTCATACTTTTGCAAGAATACGTCCTATACCCCTCCAAATTGCCACCACTATCTTGCACATAAAGATGCGCTCATCTGTCCATGCCATGCATGGTTCAACCCTGAATCATGTGTGGGTTAAAGCAAAGAAAAGCAGCCCATGGGCAAATCTTTCTCGAGGTTTTGCAATATCTGGTGGAGGATTGTGAGCACAGATTCTCCTGAGATAGCTCCAAAAGAAAAAGTCACAACAATTCAAGTCAGGGGAACTTCCATTGCCACTTAGCCCTTGCACTGATTTTTTCAATATCTAAAACTTGGCGCAGAGCCGATTTTGACCCACTGTGCAAATGGAAGGATTTCTCACCCAACCATTACCACATGTGAATGAATGACATATCATTGCAAAGAGGAGAGACATGGCCTTATGGTATATTAAATGAAATTGATGTAGTCATCACTAGTTTTGTGATTTTACGAGATAACTACTTGTTGCGTTTTTTTATACGCCCTGTATACCACAAGGACCAACCATATTATAATATATTACGACCAGTCAATTAACCGCGATGCAAGGACATTTCTTAAACAATAGTATGAGAAATAGATATGAACCACACGATAAAAGTAAACATTTATTGGAAATTGTGCCCCGTTTTACGAAAACCATGAACAAATTACAACTAAAACCCTGTTTTGTGGAAAGATCGCATAACTATAAAATTCAAAAAGGTTCGTTGAATTAATATATACATGTATGTAGTGAAGTGACCAATATAATTCAGAACGGTGTGTGGTAACATCTACCATATGCATAATAGGTCAGATGCGAGTAGGTAGTTACCACTTTCACCACCAGGTGGCTCATTTAGGTCAGATATTATGGCGAATATAGTAGAAAGTTCCCTTTAACTAAATATTATCAGTTTTTGTGGTTCAATTTGCATATCACCCTTATGTAACTAAAAGCTATACAAATTAAAATATGTCAAGTAAAAGAAAATAGTATCCATCCAATACAAGAAAATATAAGTATTTCAATTTCTGTGATTTTATAACATGGGGTCTATAGGGAATCTCCCCGAACAAGAAGTCACATTTAAAATAAATTTTCAAAGTTGATAAACAATTGTCAAAACCATATTTCTAGATGTGAAACAGGGTTTAGGTTTTCATATACATTAAACAAACTTCATTTCTATATCACATTGTTTGAGGTTTCAAGATATATGTTATTGATCTATACATTTGATGTACATCATTTCTATTCTTTATTCTTCTTTAGTTCACTTGCACTCAATACGTGATATCATTCATAAATAACATTAAAATCCTGGCTCTTTTCATATTGTTATGTCTTTTCTATCAGGAAAGTTCCAATTCCCTTAAAGGAGGATTTTGAAGTCCAGTATATTCTACTTTATAACGTAATCTACTTGCTTTTTTATTGGTTCAAATGTTGGTTCCTTATGGGAATCAACATTTGCCTCCATTTAAAGGAGGTTTAGGAAGTCCAGCAGATTTAATATGACATTATCTTGAATTTGTTCATTATTGGTTCATTTATTTGGTAATTATGGGAAATTATTATTCACCTCCTTTTTGGAATCTTCCCTGTGGAACTTTCCATACTTTCCGTCTCTTCTTGATTATCATCTCAGAATATCATCTTTAGAACAGTTTTTATCATCGATCACGACACAACGTAGGCCGAAGTATGTAAAATATTGTACTTGGATCGAATTTTTACTTGGAGTATAGAAAATAAACTTTTAGGCCATTTACTTACTTTTCATGTTACTTTATTAGAACCTGGAATAAACTGTTTCAGATGTACTTTTACATGTAGATGTTAAATATGACATCACTTCACAGTCAGCACCATCTATCTAATATCTAACATAATATAATGAAGTCCGGTAACTTGGGAAAAAAGAAAATTCGAAATATATTTTTTTCTCATGCCAGGGACTTTGATCAGTGATGTTTTATGTTTATTCAACTTTCATATTTTTGTAACTTGTCAGAAAATTTTTCTTTTAACATTTCTCGGCGATCAATAAATAGATATGAGGTCATGTCCATGAGCGGAGTTTTGGCCTAAAAAGTAAGAAATTTGTGCTTCAAGCTAAATATCTGCAATTTGCAATTGATTCTGAC